AAGAAGGAGAAGGAGAGAAGAAAGGAGAAGGAGAAGGATGAGAAGAAGGAAAGGAGAAGGATGAGAGAAGAGAAGGATGAAGAAGGAGAAGGAGAAAGATGAGAAGAAGGAGAAGGATGAGAAGAAGGAGAAGAAGAAGGATGAGAAGAAGGAGAAGGATGAGAGAAGAAGGAGAAGGATGTGACAGTTTCTGTCTATTTCTGACAGTTCTGGGACATTCACTCCATACAGCTGTTTCAACCGCTGTATGGAGGGAATGTCATGGAACTGTCAGAAATAGACTATTAATGACAGTTCTGGGACTGTCCTTCCATGCAGCGGTTGAAACATTGTATGTATTTGTTTCCATAAATGGATCCATTTTCAACCGCTGTATGGAAGGACAGTCCCAGAACTGTCATTAATAGTCTATTTCTGACAGTTCTATGACATTCCCTCCATACAGCGGTTGAAACAGCTGTATGGAGTGAATGTCCCAGAACTGTCAGAAATAGACTATTTCTGACAGTTCTGGGACTGTCCTTCCATACAGCGGTTGAAACATTGTATGTATTTGTTTCCATAAATGGATCCATTTATGGAAACAAATACATACAATGTTTCAACCGCTGTATGGAAGGACAGTCCCAGAACTGTCATTAATAGTCTATTTCTGACAGTTCCATGACATTCCCTCCATACAGCGGTTGAAACAGCTGTATGGAGTGATTGTCCCAGAACTGTCAGAAATAGTCTATTTCTGACAGTTCTGGGACATTCACTCCATACAGCTGTTTCAAACCGCTGTATGGAGGGAATGTCATGGAACTGTCAGAAATAGACTAACAGTTCTGGGACTGTCCTTCCATACAGCGGTTGAAACATTGTATGTATTTGTTTCCATAAATGGATCCATTGGATTCATAAATGGATCCATTTATGGAAACAAATACATACAATGTTTCAACCGCTGTATGGAAGGACAGTCCCAGAACTGTCATTAATAGTCTATTTCTGACAGTTCTGGGACATTCCCTCCATACAGCGGTTGAAACAGCTGTATGGAGTGAATGTCCCAGAACTGTCAGAAATAGACTATTAATGACAGTTCTGGGACTGTCCTTCCATACAGCGGTTGAAACATTGTATGTATTTGTTTCCATAAATGGATCCATTTATGGAAACAAATACATACAATGTTTCAACCGCTGTATGGAAGGACAGTCCCAGAACTGTCATTAATAGTCTATTTCTGACAGTTCTATGACATTCCCTCCATACAGCGGTTGAAACAGCTGTATGGAGTGAATGTCCCAGAACTGTCAGAAATAGACTATTTTGACAGTTCTGGGACTGTCCTTCCATACAGCGGTTGAAACATTGTATCTATTTTTTTCCATAAATGACATTCTGCAAATACACTTAGAGGAGCGCTGCAGATACACTTTTTGCCGGCTTGGAATTAATCTTATTTTCATCCTACTTCTTCTTCTTCATCCTCATCCTCATAAGAAGAAAAAGAAGAAGTAGGATGAAAATAAGAATAATTCCAAGCCGGCAAAAAGTGTATCTGCAGCGCTCCTCTAAGTGTATCTGCAGAATGTCATTTATGGAAAAAAATAGATACAATGTTTCAACCGCTGTATGGAGTGAATGTCCCAGAACTGTCATAAATAGTCTATTTCTGACAGTTCTGGGACATTCACTCCATACAGCTGTTTCAACCGCTGTATGGAGGGAATGTCATAGAACTGTCAGAAATAGACTATTTAATGACAGTTCTGGGACTGTCCTTCCATACAGCGGTTGAAACATTGTATCTATTTTTTCCATAAATGGATCCATTTATGGAAACAAATAGATACAATGTTTCAACCGCTGTATGGAAGGACAGTCCCAGAACTGTCATTAATAGTCTATTTCTGACAGTTCTATGACATTCCCTCCATACAGCGGTTGAAACAGCTGTATGGAGTGAATGTCCCAGAACTGTCAGAAATAGACTATTTCTGACAGTTCTGGGACATTCCCTCCATACAGCGGTTTCCGGCAAAAAGTGTATGTGCAGAGTTCCTCTATTCTGCAGATACACTTAGAGGAGCTCTGCAGATACACTTAGAGGAGCTCTGCACATACACTTTTTGCCGGCTTGGAATTATTCTTATTTTCATCCTACTTCTTCTTCTTCTTCTTCTTCTTCTTCTTCATCCTCATCCTCATCCTCTTCTTCTTCTTCTGAGGATGAGGATGAGGATGAAGAAGAAGAAGAAGAAGTAGGATGAAAAAATAAGATTAATTCCAAGCCGGCAAAAAGTGTATGTGCAAAAAGGTGTGCAGAGCTCCAGAGCTCCTCTAAGTGTATCTGCAGAATAGAGGAACTCTGCACATACACTTTTTGCCGGCTTGCAATTATTCTTATTTTCATCCTACTTCTTCTTCTTCTTCTTCTTCTTCTCTTCATCCTCTTCTTCTTCTTCTGAGGATGAGGATAAAGAAGAAGAAGAAGAAGAAGAAGAAGTAGGATGAAAATAAAATTAATTCCAAACAGGCAAAAAGTGTATGTGCAGAGCTCCTCTAAGTGTATCTGCAGAATAGAGGAACTCTGCACATACACTTTTTGCCGGCTTGGAATTATTCTTATTTTCATCCTACTGCTTCTTCTTCTTCTTCTTCATCCTCATCCTCATCCTCAGAAGAAGAGGATGAGGATGAGGATGAAGAAGAAGAAGAAGAAGAAGAAGTAGGATGAAAAGAAGAATAATTCCAAGCCGGCAAAAAGTGTATGTAACATCTGTATCCTAAATGGAAACTAATAGATACAAATTGTATCTATTAGTTTCCATTTAGGATACAGATGTTTCAACCGCTGTACATGTGAAGAAGCTGTGAGAGAACTGTCAGAAATAGAGGAACTCTGCACATACACTTTTTGCCGGCTTGGAATTATTCTTCTTTTCATCCTACTTCTCAAAATTTCGGTTTCGCCGCGAATCGAATATTTCCTGAAATTCGACTCGAATTCCGGTTCGCCTGGTTCGATTCGCTCATCTCTACTCATAATGACAAAGCAAAAACAGAATTTTACAAATCTCTGTCAATATATTAAAAATTAAAAACTGAAAGATCACATTGGCAAAGGTATTCAGACCCTTTACAAGAACACTTGAAATTTAGCTCAGGAGCTATGTAGCCATTGCATCCCTGAGGCCCTGGGTCTCCACTACCCCCGTGTAGTAGAGCGCACACAACGGGTAAGCCCCCTGCAAGAACAACAACCTAAACCTAGGCCGGTTATTGCCAGCTATTTAAATTATGTAGACAAACATGCCTTACTGCAACACTACCGCAAGGCTCAGAGCCTTTCTGTGGACTACCACAAATTACTACTCTTCACTGACTGAAGGGGGTTTAAATATATATCCCTCCAAAATGTATCCCCGAGTTGCGGCAATGACATTGGATGATCTGCATGACATTTGTGTTCACAGCGCTCACATAAATTATGGCAATGTCATTTAAATTTTTAGCAATCGAAAAGCTGTGAAAAAGTCATGTAATTCTTGCCCTCCTCAACCTGACTATTTTCACAAATCTTTCTTTCCCACTGCATGCATTGCAATTTATTTAGGAACTAAAGCTCTCCTACATTAAAGCATATACTGTACATTAGCTTTGAGCTGCCCCACTCTGCTACATTACATAAATGTTACACTTACATTAGGATAGACTATAAATACATAGTATAATTTGTGAAACAGAGCCATTGGTGAAATGAAAAAAAAAAAAAAAAAGACTAAAATGAAAATACTCTTGGAGTCAAGGGGTCTAGGGAGTTAAAGGCCCAGTGGTTAAAATAATGCATTTTTTAATCAATATTCCTTATCATGTGAAGTAAACACAAGCATTCTATTTTAACAATTACCGATGAGGTCAGGTATAGCTGTTTTGAAAGATTTGAAAATGATAAAGTAAAAATATAGTTTAGATACTTACAACAGTTGTACAAACGATTAAGCTTTTCAAGATCGTAGTCACTGAAATCCATTCTTTGTCCAATCACATCACTGAAGGAGGCTATCCGAGTTATAATAGTGGGTTCACTGCCATTTTGAAAGGCGGTCTTACCGTAATGCATAACTGATGTGTAGTCATATGGAACATTTAGAGAGCTGGACCGGGTATCATTATATTTATTGAAATTTCCTTCTCTTCCTGTGAATGGAAGGACATTGTAATGTATCAAAAACAAGTGTATAATTCTCTGTCACTGAAGGCTTTTGCAAGCCATTAATAAAAAAAAACTTAAAATGAATGAAAGTTGTTTTTTTTTAGTTTTGTATAAAATTGGGGAGAAGTTACAGTGTTACTAAACCCAGGACCCTGCATTCTCTCTATCTGGTCTAACACAGTACACAGAACATGGAAATGAAATTATTTTTAGTAAATATAAATTGCTAAATACCTTTTCTCAGCAGCAGTTAGAGCAGTCTTGTGACTTCTATCAATGTTCAGCAAAGCACTGGTCAAAGCTTGTGGGAGGAGTTTTCTTTCTGCTCTAGGAGGATGCAGAACCCTTTGATCTTGGCATGGTTAACGTGCACATAATTCACATTGGTGAACATTGTGAATGTGTTGTTAAAACGTGTTTCTTGTTTTTTCATTTTTTCCCAACTGTTTGAATTTCCTAGGTATTGCAGCACATGATGATGTGATGTCAGAACATGCTGCTAAAAATGCAACATGTCCTTTTTTTTTACCCCTGGTCTAAACAAGAAGCACCCAGCAACCACAGGTTTGGCACCAGGGATGTAAGGCCTTTAGTAAAAAAAAAAAGTTTCCTTGAAACCTTCTCATTCCCTTACTGATCAGAATTAACATACTGTTGAACTCCTGTAAAGCCTGCAGTGAGGTGCTACAACAGTTTTTAGACAAAGACAAGAGCATGGTGTCAGAACACTTCTTCATCTTCTGTTAGAATTATAAATAAGAGCACTTACCACTAAGGATTAAGTCCCACATAATTATGACGTAATCATCTCGGTCAGCACGTGATTGTTCATGCCAAAACCCCAGAGCATGGAGAAACTCATGTTGAATTGTAGCTAATCTGTCACAGTTGGTACCAAGTGAAAGTTGCTGCTTTCCCCTACGTAAATTCCCAACATAGGACCAACACCTACATAACAAGAAAAGGAATGATTATGTTTTATACTGCATACTTTATTTTTGTATCAATACTGTATTGATACATTCTGAAAATATACAATGGTATGAATATTATATACACTGTATATAGTAATGCTTGACACCTGCACAATGCTGACATCTACATAACAAGAAAAGGAATGATTATGTTTTATACTGCATACTTTATTTTTTACTCATTACTGAATTGATACATTTAGAAAATGTATCAATTTTACTCAATACTGTAATGATACAGTCTGAAAAAATACAATGGTATGAATATTATATACACTGTATACAGTATAGTAATGCTTTGGGATGTTTAGCTTAAATGTAGAGCTCACCAGTGAGTACAGTCCACGGCAGATATGCCGTTTTAGGACTTGTTGGACCACTTTTATTTAAAGGGAAAGAAAAGTCCAACGAAAGTAAGAAGAAGAGTTCAACACAGAACAGTTGCCCATGCAGGGATTTCCACCAGTCACACAAAATGAAAATTCAGCCTTCTGGCTCTCCTTAGCAACACCGCTGCTCACCCCTTGTGCCTCAGACCTCCTGACCATCTAGCACAGCGTCCCTGTGTTCATGTACAATTGTACCTCTATTAGCACTCTTTCTTGCAGCTCCCTGCTATTCAATTGACACCTGCACAATGCAGACATACACCCTTCTGGCTGCTCCTTTACCAACAATGGACTCCTCAGGCAGGTGGAGCCCAGAACCATAGTTCTGACAAAAACCCATCTCACACCTGCAAAATCAATGGTCCAGTTGTTTCCAAAACCAGGACTCAGGATTGGAGATTTCATCAAACCCAAGTCTCTAAGAAATATCAAGGCTCTAGGTACCAAACACACTGAGGAAACTGAAAAACCAGTCTCCTCCAAATGAAAAAAGCACCCTGGAGCACCCTTTTATGTCTTGGGTGACATAAACGCATTTTAACACTTTTACAGGGCATATATATATATATATATATATATATATATGTAAACACACTATATTGCCAAAAGTATTTGGACACCCCTCCAAATCATTGGATTAGGGTGTTCCAATCACCTCCATGGCCACAGTTGTATAAAATCAAGCACCTAGGCATGCAGGCTGCTTCTACAAACATTTGTGAAAGAATGGGTCCGCTCTCAGGAGCTAAGTGAATTCAAGCGTGGTGCCATGATAATTTGCCACCTGTACAATAAGTCCATCTGTGAAATTTCCTTACTACTAAATATTCTACAGTTAACTGTTGGTGGTATTATAACAAAGTGAAAGCAACTGGGAACAACAGTAACTCAGCCACGAAGTGGTAGGCCACGTAAAATGACAGAGTGAGGTTAGCACATGCTGAAGTGCACAGTGCGCAGAAGTCACCAACTGTCTGCAAAGTCAATAGCTAAAGACCTCCAAACTTCATGTGGCCTTTAGATTAGCAAAACAGTGCATAGAGAGCTTTTTGAATTGGTATTCTATTGCCGAGTAGCTTCGCCCAAGCCCTACATCATCAAGTGCAATACAAAGCATTGGATGCAGTGGAATAAAGCACGCTGCCACTGGACTCTACAGCAGTGGAGATGGGTTGTTCAGAGTGGTGAATCATGCTTCTCTGTCTGGAAATCCAATGGACGTGTCTGGGTTTGGTGGTTGTCAGGAGAACGGTACTTGCCTGACGTCATTGTGTTAAGTGTAAAGTTTGGTGGAGGGGAGATTTTGGTGTGGGGTTGTTTTTCAGGTTTTGGGCTTGGCCCCTTAGTTCCAGTGAAGTGAACCAAGACATTTTGGACAATTTCATGCTTCCAATTTTGTGGGAACAGTTTGGGGATGGCGCCTTCCTGTTCCAACAAAGCAAGGTCCATTAAGACATGGATTAACGAGTTTGGATTTGAGGAACGTGACTGGCCTGCACAATGTCTCCTGACCTCAACCCAATAGAACACCTTTGAGATGAATTAGAGCAGAGACTGCGAGCCAGGCCTTCTCATCTGACATCAGTGCCTGACCTCATGAATGTGCTTCTAGAAGAATGGTCAAACATTCCCATAGACACACTGCTAAACCTTGTGGACAGCCTTCCCAGAAGAGTTGAGGCTGTTATAGCTGCAAAGGGTAGACCAACTCAATACTGAACCCTACGGGCTAAGACTGGGATGCCATTAAAATGTATGTGCATGTAAAGGCTGGCATCCCAATACTTTTGGCTACTTAGTGTATATATATATATATATATATATATATATATATATATATATATATATATGGTGGCCAAGACCATACAGAGGTTTTAACAGGACAGGTTCCACTCAGAACAGGCCTCACCATGGTCGACCAAAGAAGTTGAGTGCACGTGCTCAGAGCCATATCCAGAGGTTGCCTTTGTGAAATAGACGTATGAGTGCTGCCAGCATTGCTACAGAGGCTGAAGGGGTGGTGGGTCAGCCTGTCAGTGCTCAGACCATACGCCACACACTGCATCAGATTGGTCTGTATGGCTGTCGCCCCAGAAAGAAGCCTCTTCTAAAGATGATGCACAAGAAAGCCCGCAAACAGTTTGCTGAAGACAAGCAGACTAAGGACATGGATTACTGGAACCATTTTCTGTGGTCTGATGAGACCAAGATAAACTTATTTGGTTCAGATGGTGTCAAGCTTGTGTGGTGGCAACCAAGTGAGGAGTACAAAGACAAATGTGTCTTGCCTACAGTCAAGCATGGTGGTGGGAGTGTCATATTCTGGGGTTGCATGTGTCGTGCCAGCACTGGGGAGCTACAGTTCATTGAGGGAACCATGAATGCCAACACGTACTGTGACGAACTGAAGAAGAGCATGATCCCCTCCCTTTGGAGACTGGGCCGCAGGGCAGTATTCCAAAATGATAACGACCCCAAACATACCTCCAAGAAGACCACTGCCTTGCTAAAGAAGCTAAGGGTAAAGGTGATGGACTGGCCAAGCATGTCTCCATGGGGTAGATTTTTCAGGGTACTGCCTAGGCATAATTAACACTTCTAGATGTTCCCTACTATACCAGAGTGTATCTTCACTTTTTAAGTTTAGGTCCACTTTAGGTGAAAACGAGCAGATGTATGCAGAAAGTGCCTATTTCCTCTGACAACACCTAATTATCAAGAATCTTTGTCATACATATATTTTTGAAAGCTCTTCTGTGCTGCATAAACCACAAGGTCTGAGTATGTGTGTACTTACAGAAAGGGTTTGTGCATTTATATCAGCTTTCTAAAGAAAAGTATCCATTTTGATGGTTGGATCATTAGATACATGCAGACTTACATCAATTGTGTATGATCAATTTCAATCTTATTTACAGATCTACACACTTTGGAATGCTGTCCTTACTATGAGGAAATGTGTCCAAGGCTTTTGAGGACTTTCTTTTTTTCAGATTGGTCTGAGCTATGCTCATCTCCTTTTTTATTTTGTTGAATAATAATCAATAATTATAATTATTCAAACAAAATAATTAATATACGAAAACTGCATTTAACTGACTATATAACAACAGAAGAGTTTGATTTCAAAGGCTCAGTACATGGTGGGGACACAGTTTCCAAGTATATGGATGTATTATACCATATTGGGAAATTGTACATTAATTGACGGCTATAGTGTAGAAGGTAAAGAACATTGGCACAAATTATGACATGTAAAAATAGAATAAATTATAAGGTAATTTCCAAGGAATGCAAATAATAATCAAGTTACTTATTTCCAGTGTAGTAAGGACTAATTAAGTTTTCATACCCACTTTCCTTGAATACTGAGATGTAATTTGGTTCCCCATCCCAAGGTTTGAAGTCTATACAAGATTTGAGTCGGTAACGTTCAAAAGCTTCTAAGACAAGTGCTTTTGCATTGATTTCTGCAATAAAAGAAAATAATAAAATAATATTTCTTTGCTGTTAGATAATATAATAAATGATTATGTAACTATGTTTAGAACTAACAGATATTTGTATGCCTTGCGAGCCAAATTATATCCACCCAATAACAACCTCCCAAGATCACCAAAAAATGGACACAAACTGTCCCAATTGTAAATAGGATCGCAAACACTCAACACACAACTACCTCTGTGTCCATAAAGTTAATGATTCATAATGTGTTGCGCTCCCGGTATTAATCTCTATTGTGTTAATAATTCTATTTACCCATGGTGAACATATATATATTCAAGTGATATACAAAAATATAGGAAAATAAAATTATATATGGTGATGCAAAAAATGTAAATATATTATCCACTAATATAAAAAATATGTAAATGTGAAAATAATATCCCCAAAAAAAAAATTCGTGATATGATGATGTGTACTTGAAAATGAATATATATAAATCAATATAACATCATGATTGGTGAATAATCAAAAAATGTGAAATATATAAAAAAATAATATATATATATATATATACTGTAAATAAATAAATAATTAATTTGTGGTGATAATGTCCTTTAAATTCAGTGACTTTGTGCTTGATTAAATCTTGACTTGGTGACTAATTCGTGACTTTCTTTGAATCCTTAATTAGTGAAGATGTATGCTCACCTCCTTATTAGCCTGCAATTAGGCTATACACACTTGTGGTTCACCTCCTATGGAACCTGCTTGGATGGAATTCCTCCTTTACAGATTGTGAAATGTGGATATCCGTTATCCTTAATTAGCCCATATGGGATTGATCACTCTTTCCGATACTCAAATTCCCTTATGCTTTCCTCTCCATGCGTTTCTCCATATGTGGGGACAAATTGCCAAACACACAGTGTTTTATCCTTATAAAAAGATTTCTGCTTTATTGCTTCCAACAGGTACACTCACATATATTGTATGAGGTATAAGATAAATTGCGCAGCACGTGTAATCCGCCAGCCGTTGAGTCATGCAACCGC